AGATGGTGTGTGTTAGGGGCTGTAACAAGGCCGGTCATATTCACTACCTTCATCCCCTATTGTGATACATCGACAGTTGGGGAACCCTGTGGAGAGTTTTCCTGAGAGGAAACGTATTGTTGTCTGAGGCCTCAAATATAAATACAGCTGCTCAGATATACTGCCAAGAGCTGATGGTGTCTGTTTAAAAGTGAAATGTACTTTTCTGGACATGTCCAATGGTTTTTATGTTTCCTCTGTGTAATAATGCACTTTTACTTGTCGTCACAAAAATTCATATAGTAGCTGTCTGCAAACACAAACCAACATAGGGACATAAGATGAAAGTAGAATTAAAAAATGTAGTCCCGTTTTTTTGGATGTATTTTTATTCAGTTATATTTGTGTCATATAATTTGTAATAATGTGATTTGGTAATGATTTTACAGCACTGTAGACACCACTATAAAAACACCACGATAAAATTGAACCCGAACAATCTATCACATGTTGCTCATCACAGCCACATGTCTACCTGTATTGTTATTAAAAAATACGGCGCTCCGGGCTACACTTTGGACAGTATGGTGCTGGTTGCACAAAATGTAACTGGCTTATCTGCTGTGTGTAATTGTGGTTTGACTGTGCAACATCACTCCAGTTAAAGACTGCAGATGGAGTACTTACCTGTTGCTTTCAGATGGCTGTAAAGAGAGTCACCAGAGTAAAGTAAAGGTCTTCTGCTATTAGCAGTTGTGAAACTGGTAAGAATCACTCATTAATCTTTATTCTGTCTTGCTGGATTTACATAATGCCATATTTAAAATGAAACAGTTCTCTGTGATTACATCAGCTGGTCAAAAAACATATAATGAAAGAAAATATGAATAATGGGAAGTGATTTTAGAGAGGGTTTTCTGGCTTTTCCTCTTCCATATAAACTGACCACAGTATTATAAAACACAACCTGACCTACTCTGGGCACAAGGGCAGCAGACCGTGCGAGACACGCTCATTATTGGCACCAAGATTGCAGTATAGAGCTGGATTGTCTTTGCCACACCCTCGACTGCACCTCTCCTCTCACTGGGGCACACAGCAAGTCACCAAGATACCAAAGTAGTTAAGGAAAAGTTAAGTTAAGGAAAAAACCACCCCTGGAAAATGTACTGCGCACCAACATGCTCTGCTGCAGAGAATTTGCTTGGACTCTGTAAAGTAACTATTACCTTTATATTGTTATAATATATAGTTAAGTACAGTATTTCAGTATTTGAGTAAATGTACTTAGTGACTTTCCACCACTGCTGAAAAGTTTTCTATTACACCCACACAAACTTTAAGCTAAGAATTGTGTTTCCATAGTAACAGTCAGCGCCACCTGCAGAGAGCAACAGCGCTGTAATTTGATATAGATACTGTGGAGTAACAGAAGAAGGAGTTTTTAAGGTAAATCTATGAAAAACCAAGCTGGAAAAGGAAGCCAACACAGTAGTTCCAAAAGCTGCAGTTCCTCAAACGGCCACTTGAGGCTGGCTACAGAAGTGATCAGTCTCCATAAGGTTCCATGTTAAAATGCCTAGCTTTACAGCAGTAATAAAGTAGTTTTGGTCTCTTTGGCTGCTTTACAAACACAGACCAGGTACAGTAAAGCAAAGTAAAGTAAAGAAAATGGAATCGATGACAAACCCGAGTTAAACGTGAGTTATGTTTTTGGGTAACTTTATAAAACATACTGCTGGAGAAACACAGAGAAACACAGAGAACCTCCTTGTAACTCAAACACTTGTGGAGTGAATGGAGTTAGTGCAGTTAATACAATTATATCTTCCTCTTATACATTAATATTATTATCTGACTATAGGCACTAGTCATGTAGTAACAGTCTTTGTAAAAACCACCCATCAACAGAATCAGATTAGAAGGACAGACTTGAATAGACAGCATGATTTTGTTCCACAACAGATTGCACTTTGGTGGCTTCTTGACTCCTTTGATTATATTTCCAATGCAACCAATTCCCTCGGAGTTCCTCCCAGGCAGGCTTTGCCCAGACCACACTTACACACACAGAAGAACTGGCTAGTGGATTAATGCTAGGCTGATCATATCAAACAATTACCCTGTTTTCCCACTGAGGAGGATAGAGGGCCGTAATGGCGGAGGCGACAAAGTCCCAGTCCCTGCAGACCATGAGAGCATTTTTTGGCTGCAACTCCAGACGCCGTTGGATCTCCATCCTGTCCTGTTGTGCGAGAACACAGACACGTCTGTCTGCTGGCCACCCTCCTGGGACACTGCGCAACACACATCAAAAACTACCGGCTGCTCGCTCTGTAAACACAACAACACGGAATAAACATCAGCTGGTCATATTATGCAACTGTGATCAGGGTTGGGTGCCTGCGGTGATTTAGGTTTTACAAACCACTGGGCCGTTGCTGCGCCGGCCATCAATCATGTATGGATGACCTTGATGAAGGCCACAAGCCAAAGACTCTTAGAATCGGTCAAAATTATTTTTCCTGGAGCCGGCTGTAAATCACACCAGAAAACAGGACAGTCACGCTGGAGTTTGTCCGTCGTACAGGCTTCAATAGAAGTGAATGAGAAACGGAGCAAATTTTCACGGGACGGAAGTGTAATGTGACCATATCTTTATTTGTACCCATCTCTAATTCCAGCTGCACTATCTGCAGTTATCAGTCATTATTCTGTGACATACCAACTGCATGCTACAGACTGGTGATGAAAGCTGATCATCTAGCAGCTATAGAGACATAATGTATATTTTTCTCAGGAGACCAATCCAGAGCTTACATTCATCAAGTGGACAGAATCATGACTCATCAATGTTGTGCTGCATCTGCTGGATGTTAAAAGGTAACATAGCATTTTGTGTTGTTAACATGTCAGGCCTATGTGGAGAGGGTTTATTTCTGCCTCCTGAATCATTAATGAATAGATTTTGTTCTGGATGTTCTGTTATTTTTGCAGGTCTAATTAAACTAAATAATAAGACAAACAAGGTTATGGTACAGGCCATACCTGGCAAAGCAAAAGTTCTTAAAAGTTAATAAGCATTAATAACGATATAAACCATTCAAAATCAATTATGGTAATAAACCCATCATAAAGTATGCATATGAGTAAAACTTGGCACCATTTCTTTTGAAAATCCACTTAAACTTCCATCCTCTTAAATGTTAACAGATTTGTAAACAATGGTTCTCAGGTAGCCAATAATTTCCAAGATAAGTCATGATGAATGTGACTCAGTGCAGTGTCTCTCGAAGATGTTGACTCATTTTTCACATTGCTGCTATCTCTGTTTTAACAAAACTCTTATTAATATCAGTGATCATCACAAAGCCGGTGTTTTCCTTCATTTTCTACGGTGTTATTCTCATTCCTCACTGTCGCGCAGAGGGTGAATTATAAAGCCCAGCATGCGTCCTTCCTACTCCGCCATCTCCTCCCTGACTCCTCTACCATCTTATCTGAGCGGCCTCCTCCAGCCCACAGCTTCCTCCTGGCGACCTCCTCTTGGCTGCCTGCCAGAGTGCCGATCACTGCATCTGTCTGTCAGCAGAATACCAACTGATTAATGCTTTCACTGCGCCCATTAATAAAACTGCCGAGAGGCTGCTCTCTCTAATTGAGAGGTACAGCTAGGGCTGCATTGGACCAGATGAGAAGGACATATACAGTAGGGCTGTGTTGAGTCATGAGCGGGTGCATGTGTTTTAGGGGATGAAGAGTGGACTGCTCTTGCTTCTGACAACCAATGATATAGGTGCTCTAGTGCAAAAAAGAAGCGGTGCACTCAGTTATTTATGTGAGGGCTAAAGACTGAGGGTACACACAATGTTTTATTGGATTTTATTAAATGTCTTTTCCTGTCCTGTGTGACAGTAGCTGTTCTCCAACTTTGATCTTGATTTTCTGCACAGCAGCAGAATCATTGTAGTGTAATGATAAAGTACTGGTGTCTAGGCCACTGGCACCAGCAGTGATCCACGGGCACTCTGCTGGACACACCCTGACTACTTGGCTCGTTTGCCCCATCCATCTCCGCTGTTCTCATACGGCAAAGAATTCCAGTACTGCAATCATTTGTTCTGGAGATGACGGGAGAGGATACACTTCTGTGACACGTGTCTGACACAAAGTGTGGCTTTACTGGTCTGGTGTGTTGTATGGGGTATACAGACATATAGCAAGTTAGCTTCTTTTTTTTAAAGAGTACTAAAGAATAAAACTGGTGTTAAACTGTATTGCACTGTAAATGCAGCTTTCTTCCCCAGTTGGAATGTCCAGGTCCCTCTGCATTGCAGTCACTGCTAACTCTACTGTTGCCCTGGGCAAGCTGCAGATAGCCATATGCCACCTCCAGTTGCTTCCTGTCACCTGCCAGTGATGGATTTTCAGCTGGTGGGTATAACGCATGATTCACACTATCCCACCAGTTTCGTGCCCTGACAAACCAGTACAAGCTACGACGCTGGCTTCCTACCTGCAAACATGGCCTACTGTGTTTGTTGCAGCACACAACCAAGCTGGAGGTGCCATTACTAGAAATGAATCTCTTAATCTTTGTGGGGAAGGGGTAGAGGTTTACCCCTATTAACAAACACCCTTAAGAGACTGAAACCAGCAATGGATTTATCCCATGAAGTAGTCGCAGTCTGATATAATGTAAACTCCAGTGAGCCATCCTGTTGGCATTGACATATGACTTTGTTGTGATTATCATGGCTGATGTAGTCTGTCCCTCTCTCATGTCCCGCTCAATTCTGAGTATGTCTCAATGCTCAATGCGTGCCCCATGTACAAAGGTTGAGTCTTTAACGCAGTGGCCTTGGTCCAATTTGCTGCATGTCCCCTCCCCCCCACTTCACCGCTAGATGCCCCCAAATGCTACATGCGGGTCCTTTAAATGGAGACATGCATTTGGCAGAGTGTAGGACAAATCACGAAAAAAATATATACTGTAACTCTAACAGAGCCCACTGGCCATATCTTTGTGTTGGCATCAAGGTTTATTATCCTTTTATAATGTACAATATACAAAAATATAGGGTACCAAAAAATTCACAGTGTCTAAAAGGCAGTGATTACAGTCTACATGACAGGTCTAACAGTACACCTGGTAAGTTGCATAGAAGGGCACAGAGCCTCACATCGCAGGGGACAGAGCTCAAAATTGACCAATCAAATGACCGGCAGACCAGGCCAATAGAGGCTTAGTTACGTCAAAACAACTTTTTTTATATGCCTGTTTGCAGCCTATTATATTTGATACTGATATTATCAGTGCTACGCTGAGTTTTTTCAGTCCGGATTCAAATGTCTCTGGGAATTAGATGTTTGAGCAGCTGGGAAAGGTCATAAGCCACAGGCGGTCGGTCACATTGTGGAGCTCTGTCCCCAAACAAACCTCATGGTTGGTGTGTACTTAGCTGCTGCACTTTTTTAAAACAACTATAAGGCTTTTTTTAAACAAACAGTGTTAGCTATACAATATACAGATACATTTACACGATCCTCTGCAGGGTCATTAAAATGGGCTGCAGAAGGCTGTTGCTCCTATATACAGATAGAGCTCTCGTGCATGTACAGTAGCTGAACTGAAAAGCATTGCTGGGTTAGCATTCATCGATCAGGCAATAATAATAATAAAATATAGCTGTGAAAATGCCCTTTATAAACCAAGCTTTGACTATAAATAGTGTCCGTTCCAACTCCGCAGGAACCAAAGGGTGCGATGCTTTAACTTACAATGATTAACATCTCATACATGAAATATAGAAATCTGGAGTGTCAGCGACAGAATGTGGAAAAAAATGCACAAAAAGAAAACCCTTCTCATTTATAGTTTTATGTATGAAAGCATTTACATTGTACAAAATACAGCAACCCCCCCTTTGCTCATTCAGGCATACAGACACGCAAAGATAAGAGTACATGTGTTTGCATACGTACACACATCCACACACACACATGCACTCATTTTGATCTTCACACAGGCAAATCTCTAAGCAAGCATAATTTAGTTTTATTTTTCTTTTCTTTAAAGCGGGGCCAAATGGATATTTTGTTACAGTCATTCTTTGTAAAAACCATATCAATAATTTTTTGTGTTTTATATTTGTTAACATTTCATGTAGTGAAGATGCAATGGTTACTACACTTCTGACAAATCAAGAAAACAAAGGAATGTGTGAAATTAGAGTAACAAGAATTAATCAGCTATATCTTATTTAACAAAATATTTCCTCCTATGCTACGGCTCGTCTGAGAATAAAACAAATATCATCTTAAAAAACAAACATTTAAAAAAAGAACAAGTGCCAGTCTACTAGCTTATTCTACCATCATAGAAAACCCAATCCAGTTGTTCAGCACACTGGCCATATTTGATATGACCACCGAGCTATTTAGCACTCAGTAGAATTGATGCATCCATTAGAGAATCAATTGGAGAATCAATCAATTCCCTTTCAGAAGTCTTTATTGTTCTTAGGGAAAAAAACAAACAGAAGAAATAGAAAGAAAACAATTGTTGCCCCTGCCCTCCATTGCATACAGGCACCCAAGGCATTCCCAAAGCTTTATATACAGTTCAGAACGCTTCTCACAATCCCCCTTTGCTCTGACTTTACGAGTGAACGCCCTTGTCCACAAAAGATGTGTGACTCCGGTCATAAGCAGATTTATTGAATTGAATGATGTAGCTTTGTGACTCTTCCAAATGTCTAAAAATCAACTCGCAGGTTCTTATCTTTTCTGTCACATGAAACACCAACAATGGAGGGCGTGCATCCACCCCTAACAACCAAGCTGATATTGATCACAAATTTATTTCATCAGCGACGTCATTTAGTTTACTCTTTTGTTGTTGTTTTCCTGCTCTGTGCCGTTGTGGACATAACAATAAGCGCCGTGTGATCGCAGTTGTTCTCAGTGCTTTTGTTCTCTGCAGACTCACAAGTTCATTACAGGCTGAGGATGTGGTTATTAATAGAGAGGCGTGAAATGGTGACCCAGGTCCAGAGGAATGTAATATATATATATTTTTTTTTTTGTTCTGTTCATGTTTGTCTCTGGAATAGCGGATGCTCAACTCAGCACCTGCGCTGAGGTGTTCTGGTCATAACAATCTGTCAAAACCCATAACTCGTCCTGCTAGAGTTTTACACTGGATCCCCGCATGAAGCTCGGAGTTGACACTGCTATATCCAGTCAGAGCCTTACAATAACACCCCCCCAGCTGGTTGTCCCTGAATACACCAGGACACGGGGCCTTGTCGTCCAAACCCACATCTCCTGATGGAAAGTTCCAGAAACGCCCTTGAGGAAACAAACCCTACCATGCGGAAGAGACTATGGGAGCGAGGAGAGGGGCGATGGCGAACCTGTCCGAGCTCTGAGAAATGTTTCAGTTCATGTCGGTTCAGTTATGTCACCACTGTATTGGGGTGGTGTCCGTTTGGGGCAGTGCCAGGGGGGTTCAGAGATCCAGTTGTGGGGCGTGTCTCAGCTGTTGTTGCTGTGGTTGTAGGTCCTGCATGGCGAGGGGGAGGAATTGGGCTGGTAGTCATATTTGCCGAGCGCTGTGGGATAGTAGGTGGTCGTGTAGACGTTTGTCTGCTGGAGCGGTGTTGGGTAGAAGTTGGATCTTTCATCTGGTAGCAGGTTGTTTTTGTTGAGTGTCTGGAATGACACAACACAGAAAAAAAGAAGCTAATTAAACTTTTAACTCTTACAGCTAATAGAACCGTACAGTATGTTTCATATTTTATTCCATATTACTAGTTAAAAGATTAA